CTGACTTCAGGGAAGAGGTTGTATAACTTTCTCAACATTATGGAATGCTTCCACTTTCTCTGGCTGTTGTGTAAGTGACCTTGTTTATTGCCATATGTTCCTGCATTTATATAATACATTTTTACTTTGGAAAAAATACATACTGCTTTCAAAGAGTAACAACTCATTTCCTTCCTTTTTATTGTAACACAACACTCAGTGTGTTAATCGGCATTTTTGTCCTTGTAGTAGTTCTTTTTCTTCTTTTAAGGTTTTTGGGGTGGGGAGAAGGTAGTAATTTGATTGATCGATTGATTGATTGATTTTACGGAGGTACTGGGGATTGAACCCAGGACCTCGTGCACACTAAGCATGCACTCTGCCACTGAGCTATACCCTCCCCATCGCCATAGTAATTCTCACTATTAGTTTTCAGAAGCATTAAATTGATTTCATTGTTGTCCAGGGACTACTGTAAAAATGATAAAACCTAACTGGTACAAAGCACTTAAACTGGTTCTGATAATATCAGAACTCCGTGTTGCTGTGTAAGCTTAGAAGAACTCATCTAATAAGTTCTCTGTTCTTTTAGTCACTTTGGAATTATTTTTGATCACCTGTTAAATCATGGGCGTATTAAATTTTTTTTCCTTCCTTTCCATTTCCTTTTTTTATCACTATTTTAATAACCACCTTGTCAGTATTCTCTTATACTTCATAGTTTTCTGCTTAAATTGTAAATCTGATTGTACCATTCTTCTACTCAAACAATCCTGGTAAACCTCCATCCTATAAGTGCTTACCATATTATAAAATCTTTGATTTACTCATCTTCACATCTTCTGTAGTACTTTATTGTAGTGCCATGCGTATAATCAATGTGCAACAAGTATTTCCTGAGTTGAATTGCTGATTTATTTATTTATCTCCCCCACCCCCTACCACCACCCTAAGTTGGATCTTGTCTTTGGAATTGTATGCTTTAAATTGTAATTTTTTCTCTTAATTCATATGTGGGTTCTCATTTGTGTGTGAAAATATAAATCTTGTAGCTCTTTTGTCAACATAGTCATTCAGCTTTATCTGTGTACCTAGTATGTGGCCATGTGTCTAATCTTTCATACTGTCAGCAGAAATCAGTATATCAATATTCGTAAGCAAAATGCATGTGAGGATTAAAAACGACAACTCCAAAACCAGGATTCTCTATCAAAGAGAAAACTAGTAACTCTTGATTGTATGGCTTTGTGGTACATTTTTTGACAGCTCTGCTGGGTCAGCTTTCTTTTACCTCACAGACGTAACTGACCAGATTTAGGATAGACATATATAAAAGAGACATGTGAGGTTTAATAGAGTTCTTAGTAAGTTAAATTTTCTGATTTTTTCATATGCAGAAAATATATTTTTAACTTAAAACAACAAAATATTTTTATTTGAATATAAAGTACCAAAAGTATTAAAACCAAATAATAAAATGAAATTTACGAAGACCTCAATGCTTCCAAAAGAAAGGGAATGTTGGCAGAGAGATGAGTTAAAAGACCGAGTAAGGTCACTCAGGCAAGTGGTATTGAGAGCTCAACCTAAGGTAGAGGGAAAAGAAAATAGTAGTTTCCAGATAAATCATTGAGCTAGAATTGACAGGAATTGGTATCTGGTAAGATGTCAGGAATTAGAGATACTTGTTAGAGGCAAGTCAGGCAGTACCTATTTTGGGATAGTTGCTTAATGCTATTCTCAGTATTGCCCAAGATTTCCCATCCCTGTTACTTTGTTCATACCATCTGATTCTTCTGCCTTGTTCAACGTCCCCAGTCTAAATCTTACTCATCCTTTAAGGTGCAGCATATATCCTGTCTATTCAGAAGTTACCCTTCAGGTGCTCTCTAAGTGGGGGAAGGGCTGCACTCTTATACTACTTTCAATCTACATCTAATTTTTTATAATTATTATTTACTATCTAATACTTGTCTTTCTTGTGCATCTCTTCACTCTAGTGCCTTACATATAATTAAATAGATCATTTTGTATTGAGTTTTTGTTTGTTTTCATTGATAAAAACGTGATCTAATATCAAGTTAGATAAACTACTTTTTCTAAAAACTTACTCCAGGTTAAAACAAAAAAGGGCTGTGTTTACCTAGTATTCTTGAAAACAGCTCTTTTTGTAATTTTTAAATACAGATTTGCGTCAGTAATGGTTTGGGGGAAAGCGATCACAGCACAAAGGCTCACACTTATAAGTAAGACGGTAGGTACTTAGGCTTCTGCAACCTCAGTTCTCGTCACCGTAGGATTTTGTTCCAGTTTCCTTTTATAGTTTACTGGTAGGTCCTTGAATTGTGAAACACAAAGGAACTGGTCCTTCTGTTCTTTGAGGTACTAACATCTAAATGGTGAAACCGTTTGCATAATGTTCCAGAATTCATTGAAGAAGTCTGCACCACAGCGGTGGAAATGGTTGCAGTCTATAAATCAGGGTCCTAGAAAGCAGTGCTTATGTGAGGTTTTCTTTAATCCCCCAAATGAGACAATTCAAAGACGATTTTACACAAAGTGTTTCAGCCAGTGTTTATATGTGACTAGCATCTCAATTCTCTTTTAAATGATCCAGCCCCTTCTTTCTGAATGAAGAATTGACCCCCATGACTATATTTCCGTGAGTCTTAAAATATTGAAGACCTAGTCAAAGTATTTATATATAGCTACATATCATTTTCTTTAACTTTAATGGTTTTCCCTTAAAGCTTTTTTTTAATAGAGTAATAATAGTATTTCAAAATCTGATCAGAGATGCCAAAAATCCTTTGAGAATGTAAACAGTTCAATTTGTCAGAATTAAATCATAAGCATAGTTTGAAATATTTGGTAACATTTTTGAGTTCACTCCAGTAAGAAAGCAGTTGGATTATAGCACAACACAGCATTTTAGAACATCTTCATGCCATCACTACACACGTTCTCATTTTATGTCATCAAATCCCTAACATTTATTGCGTCTTTTCGATGGCACTAGGCACTTTACATACAGTGTCATCTAATCCTTAACAAAACACATTATTAGGGTTATAGTTATTATACCCATTTTTCAGGGGAGTTCCTCCTGAAAGTCACCCATCTAGTAACCATGAGCTCGGACTCCAGAGCTTTTTCACCTGCTGCATAAGGTGTAAGGTAGACTGCTTACCTTACTCGCTCCACTTTGCTTCTCACTTTATACCTGTGCAGATCATAAAGCCTGCTGTGCAGTGGATGATCTATAATAAATATTTGTTAAATAAATCTGCCTCTCGTGGGATAGTAGCAGTAACGGAAGCCCCCAGCAGAGCTAGGCTCATTCCTCGTAGCTTGGGTGAATGTATTCCAGGAGTCTCACATTGGAACCCTAAATACATTTTTTACAGAGAAACCGTGCTAGTTGTGATTCGAAGGTTTATGACTGAATTCTTAAGAGTTACATGGGTCTTTATACACTAATCTGGGAATTCGACTGCCACTAGATGGCATGACTTCTGTGGGGAAATACCTTTTTAGACAATTTTCAAGTGGACTTTGGGAATAAAGCCCATTGGTAGGTAGGTTGGAGGTTGTGGCCATTTGAGGAATATGATGACTCTTCCCTTGGAAACACAGATCACCGTCATGAGTACCGGTGATCGTTTTTAGGACCTCAGTACATAAAAATCGAGAAAAGTTGAGCTTCCCTAGGAATGGAGGGATGGAGGACCCTGAACACCCCAGCTTCTCTGTTTCCTCCCCATTTGCCTCCTTCTTACCCCTGGCAGCAGCTTGTGAAAACTGAGAAGCCTGAAGACGATAAATCCTTTCTCCAGACCAGTTTCTTTTGCAAATGAAGAACTTTAGGCTTGAAAAGTTAGGTGATTTCCCGAAGTCACACAGCTATTTCAATTACGCAGTCAATCTGTGGCAGAGGACTAGATGTGATGTCTAGCATCTGGTGCTTTCCAGCTCTAATAAAAATTCTTTCAAGCATTGTTTAAATTGAATAATTAAATCTTTGCATAACAACTTAAGTGTTATGTTTTACCATATATTGTCTTTGAAAATAATATATTTTATACAGTGCCTAGATAAAAACTAAAAATAGCATATCATTCACTATTTGAATAACTTTTTACATGTTAGTGATGCACACAGCCCTACAGGTAGGAAGGACCCTATGTTGTCGCTGTTCATATTTTAGAGATTAAGACTTAGAAAGAGTAACATCACACAGCTAACAAGTTGCAGAACCAAAATTCAAAACTAAATTTCCTCAGCATAAGATTTGGAGCTGGACTCACAGCAGTGAGATGTGCGGTCAGTCTGGAAGCAAGCTGAAAGCAAGCAAGCTTCTTGGTTGTGTAATAGTCAAGTGAGGCGGGCAGGACACTTGAGGGGAAAGGAGGAAGTTTGGGGAAGGGCCCTTATTGAACTCTACAGTGAGGGAACAAATAGTGGGTAAAGTAAGGGGGTAGGTTTTGCGGCATGGCTGCAGTGAGTACAGTGTGTGAATTTTACTGAGATGGCGTGGTGGAAAAGAGCGCTTCCTCAGACCTCGGTCTGAGTGTCTTTTTAATTACTAACTGTATGACCTTAGGTAAGTCAGTTGATCTTTCTGAGCTCTGGTGGTCTCTCATGTGTTAAGTGAGGATAATATTAACCTTGTGAACCCAGTTCTGACTGCTCAAAAGTCTTTCTCTCCTCCCCCCCATCCCCTTGGCTTCCTTCTAGGTTCTTTGTATTTCAGTCTTTTTAGCAGCTACTTAGCTAAATCATGAACTAGCTACATACGTTCCTATACTGAATGGAGAAATACCAGAAGCCTCCCACTGAAAGGGCATCAGAATGACACCAGCTGCTGTGGATCAGAAAGAACTTTTATTACCGTTTTTTTGTGACAGATTTGATCCAGGGTCCCTCTCAAGTTTGGTTCTCATTTTTTATTTTGGTTGTTATCCATGAAATAGTAGTTGGTGAATTGTTCCATCATTAATCAATGTTTTTATTTTTTCCAGTTGTATAAGTTTGGAGAGACAGTGTCTATTGTTTTTTGGACGGATACTTGGCGACCAGAAAGCTTCTTTGATAAAGTGCAGAAGAACAGACAGAGCGGCTTACACACGCTGTGCTTACTGGGTAAGGGCTCTGGGGTTTCCTTAGGGTCCCAGTGTGGAGTTGTCACATTGTTCGCATTTTGATTTTGTGTTGAGTTAAAACTGTTCTGTGGATAACTAGCTAGAGGTAAGAAAGGATACAGTCTAGCTGCTCTGTACATCCCATGCTCTTTCCCGTACTCCTGGGGAGACATGAATTTTCTGCTCCAGCTGCCATGTGGCTATTCCTACATACGTGCCGCTGCCCACTTTTGCCCTAGTAGATCCTCCCCAGCATCCCATCGCTCACCCATTTATTTGTCCATCAAGACTCTGTCCTTGTCAACTTAACTGCAACTCAACAGACTTGCACTGAGCATTCATTCTTACCAGGCGCCGTCCTGGGTCTCCCTTGAGATGTTCTTTGAGTGCTGCAGCACTGATGCTGGCAGAATCACACAACTACAGATCTGGAAGTGACTCTGGAGATCTTCTAATTAAAGCCTGTTTTCCAGATGAGGTTGAGGCCCAGAGATAGTGAATCATTTTCCCACTGTCACCCAGCTTATTGGTTGCAGAATTGGGAGAATCCAAATAGCCTGTTATTCATAGCTCTTCTCACTGTATCATGCTGCCAAATCCTGTTTCCCACCTCATGTGGAAAGAGCTGGGATCGCTGTCTTTGTACACAAAGGTGATGGTACTGACAGGGCGTCAGAAGGAGTGGGCGGTGTTTGCCAGAGAGGCACTGGCATTGTCGTGATTCACATTCACTATCAGTTCCTGTGCTACAGTCTATGTTGTACAAATACTGTTACCAAAGTTTTAATCTGGGGATTGGCAAACGGAAAAGAGCTATCTGGCATCTTGGACAACTTGGAAATGACACTTGGAATCAGAAGACAAAGTCTGAGTGCTGCTGCCTGCTAGCTAGGGAGCGCTGTGAGTGGTCCTCACCTTCGCCTTCGTTTTTATCAAATAGGAGTCATCTCTCCTTGCCTCATGGAAGTGCTCAGAGCAGTGCTTCCTAGACTGTTTGTGGTGAGGGAGCCAGTGTTGTTCTTTTATACACACACACACACATATAAATATGTATACATACATGCACACATATGTATATTTTAAAATTTCTAATCTTTTATGTCAGAGTCAAATTGTTGTAAGTGTTGATAAATACTCATTCTCACTCCTGAAGTTTCTTTATCATTTACTGGTAACAAAATGCTACATACTGGCATCAGGCCTTGGATCATACACTGAATTGCACTGTTTTGGTGATACTATGTGTGAAGTTACCCAGCAGAATATCTGCCACATGGTACAGAATCAGGGCAAAGAATGAACCCATGGTTTTGGCCCTTATAGTAAGTACGGATATTCAGAATGTTAGAAAAGCATCCTGTTTGCCAAAAACATTCAGGTTATTTGTACAGTATAGCCAGTTCTTTATTATTCAGTGATATATAATTTGCATGTTATCAAAACCCCCATTAATATGTCTCTTTTAAAAGACTATAGGAAAGTTTTACTAATGATTAGCATTTCTTACAGGGTAGAAGTTGGAAGTTATCTAGAGCAAGGGTTACTATACAAGCACCCATGGATCAAATCCAGCCCACGGGCTGTTCTATAAGTAAAGCTTCATTGGAACACCACCATGCTACTTCATTTATGTAGCATCTGTGGCTGCTTCCATGCTCCAGTGGCAGTGATAAGTAGTTACGACAGACACCTTGTGGCCCTCAAAACCTAAAATATTTGCTACCTGGCCCTTTACAGAAGTTTGCCAACTCCTGATCTAAAGTGAAATTTTCCCTCATCTCATGTGGTACAGCCTGTAACCCCCAGTGATTCTCTTTCCCATGACTTTGGTTGTTTCTTTTCAGTCTTACCATCTATCTGAATTATTGTGTTAACTTGTTTTCTTCTCTGCTTCATAAGAGCAGGGACATTGTCTTGCTCATTCCTCTCTCTGTAATGCCTAGAAGTCTGGCACAGTGAAGCTGTTTAATAAGTATTTAATGAAAGTTAATTGGTTGAAGTTTATTTTTAGGTTTTTTCCCTCAGATTTGATCTTATTACCTGTTGGCACAGAAGATCTTTAACTCTTGCATCCAGAATACATTCCTTTTATTCCATTAACAGTGACACCTACTTAATTCCAGATCCAGATCAGGCTGTGAATGCTTCTGTGACTTTTTTTGGCTTATGCCTCTACCCGACAATTAACTGGTAGGGTAATGTTTCCTTGTTTTAGTTTATTGTCCATGCAATTTAGTAATTCATAATTAATCAATTATCTTTATAGTTTTGTCTGTGGATTTTCCATGTGGAAAGATACAGGTCTTCCTTTTTTGTAGTTCTTACTGCAAGCACACAGTAACACACTTGTTAACTCATGTGGAATATGCCATTAGATATATCCATCATGTAGTCTTAAACTTAGATCCAGTTTGGCCAGCAGTGTGTAGAAAGTCAAAGTAGAATGATGTGAGAAGGGCGGCCATTAAGGGGACTTTTATTAAAGGCAGAGGGAAAGTATATGCCACTGGAGGATAGAAAATAGGCATTCATTGGAGCTCAGCTACTTGTGTGTGTGTGTGTGTGTGTGTGTGTGTGTGTGTTTTACAGCAGAACTGAGAGGTTTTAAAACAATGGGGAGAAAAGAATCTTAAGAGGCAAGCTACCTGATCACTTTTTCATGGCATAAAAAATGTGGGGAAAAGGGGGAAAAATAGGATTAATCTTTTGGAAGCTTTGGGAAGGAAGTTAGAAAATCAATTTACAGTTATTTACCAAATGTTTACTCTGTGCCCAATGTGGAATTAGGTTCTGTGGAATACTAAGGAAGTAGTAGACACGGGTCCTGCCCTCAGGGTTTTGAAATCTAGCTGGAACTAACATGCCGTGTACATGAAAGTGTAGAGAACAATTGTGTTCTATTGTATGGAGAAGCAGGAAGGACAAACCAGAACGTTGGCTCCTGAACTCTGTCTAAGGGCTGCCTCTTTTCTTGGCTTTCCTGGGAAAAGACAAACAAGGTTAAACAATATATCTTCCTTGCTCCACTAACAAAAACAGGAACAAGGTGTGAAGTATAAGATATCATGATTACAAATTCTCAAGCCATAGATCTCATCATTTTTATC